AGTGGATCACGTTTTCCACTAAAATATTAAGCAGCACAACGTTTTCTTTACTGGTAATAATAATATCTTTCTTGAGCACCAAATCAGCATACTGGAATGATTTCTGAAGGATCATGTGACATTGAAGACTGGAAATTCAGCTTTGCCATCACAGGAACGAATAACATTTCAAAATAAATTCAAACAGAAAACTTATTACAGAAATTGTAATAATATCTCAAAACATAGCAGTTTTTTTTTTTTAAATAAATGCAGACTTTGTGAGCATAAAAGACTTGAAAAGCACAAAAACAACAAAAACAAAAAAACAACTACCATTAAAAAAAAAAACATTTAATTAAATTATTCAAAATAATGTGGTGGGTGTGGTGGGAAAAATCTGAACTACTGAAAAACAACAACAACTTGCTGCCCTGAGTGATATAATACAAACTTGCTTGATTATTGGACACACCACTTCTAGAACATTCTATTAAAGTGGCACTGCAAAAAGCCCAATTTTATTCTTAAGGAATTAAGGTCACTAAAGTAAAGTCATATTGGATCAAGCAGAAAGTTTGCATGGCAGTGTGTCCAATAGGAACACATTTCCCCACATTCTTCAAATGGAAGCACATATGCCCGTCTGGCTCGGAGAGACTCAAAGAGAGGAGCTAATAGTCTCAGCTGCTGCTCTAAGAGAGAAACAACAGCCTTAACACATTAACAGTCTGTCCCTTATTTATAGTCCTGATCTTATACAACTCCTGTTGATATCCGTCCCTGCCATTGGCCGGTTTTCTCGGCACGGTGCGGAATCAGGGGGCATCCGCGTGCTCGTTAGAAAAAGCCCAGCGCTCAGCTGGCAGATGTTTGGGGTGGTGACTTGCATGCTGAGCTATTTCACCCTCCCTCCCACAGCACCCCCCCCCTCCCACCCACCCACAGCACATGTTTCACAGTGTGACCGACAGGGCCGCTTCCCACCTCCAGATGGCAGCAGCAAGTCTCATAACGTCCAGGGCAGCGATAGACGTCATATGCACACCCGCACATGCATTCACACACGCTTACGCATGCAAGCTCATTCTCTTCCCTTCTGAATGAGACGTAGAATCTGGGCGTATTACCAGCATCCGTCCCATTTATGTAAGCTACGCAAAAGGCCACTTGTTTTACATTACACATCAGGAGTAGTGGTATCTGCATGATGATCTGAGAAGGGGAGAGTCATTCTCTCCTGTTTGGTAATACTCTCAGGAAAGGCATGAGAGAGAGAATGGCAGTTACACAAACACAAGTGCAGGCCAGGGTCACGATAGCACACAGTTCATCTTAATGTCATATTATGCTAAAAGTGCTGGCAAAGTTTACTGAGCAATCTAGTCAATGATTAGGGAGTGCTGTTCCATGATGTGCACTAAAAAGGAGGTTTTCCCCTCTGGTCCAGTTAGTTCAGATTTGTACTGACAACATTTTTATTGTCCCAAATACAAATTATTATTTTTTAAATTTGAACTTTAAGTTAGTAGATTGTATCAGTTTTTTTTTATTGCATCAGTGTCAGAAAGTTTTCCTATACATTTGCCAAAAAAAAAAGAAAGAAAACATACTGAACACATACATAAACATATTTATTATAATATCTGAAAAATATACAACTGTAAATGTAATATGTATTATTAATACATGTAAATACTATTTATTATTATATTAACAATATATATTACATTTTCAGTTATTATATATATACATAAATACATACATACACACACACACTTGCAGCTATTACAAATGATTACATTTAAAATTATAATTAATATATATATATGTGTTATAGTGTTATATAAAAGTGAGGTCAAAATTCTTGTGAGTTAACATCATTGACAAACTGCTTCTTTTGACAGCAAGTACATCTGGTGATATAGTAATTTAGTGTTATTACCAAAAGGCCTGAAAAAGAAAACCATTACTAGTCATTTTGAATATCCTTTCACACATCACTCAGGTAGTCGTCACAAACGGACGCTGTGCTACTCAGCTGTTTAGAAGTAGTGTACTGTAGGCTAATTCTGTGACTTTTTGGTTATACAAGCACACTTTGAAGGGCTGATGTGCTGGTGCCGTCACACCCTTGCATAAACAGCACTATTAACCTGCCAAAGGCTTTGTACAAGCCACTTGAGTGATGTATTGCCGTGCTCAAGAGAGAGAAGACTGCTCTGACGGCAAGAAAATTATATCTTTCATAGCAAACTACTCTAAAATGCTGGTGTAAATCAATTAGGACTCAGATGTTTAGCTGAATACTGAATTATTGGAGCATCTAAATGAGAACTTTAAGAGCTGTGGGATGCACTGAACTTTATTACTTTAGGTTAGGGATTTAAATAGTCCCCTAAACCCTAAATAGTAATGAGATGATTGCCTTAGCAAGCATAGCTAATAAACACTTATATTACTCAGGGTTCCCACACATTTCGAGCAATGAATTTCCATGACTTCTCCAGCTGTTCATGATTACTGAATAAGGAAAATTAGGTCTAGGATTTGAAAAATTATTTTATAGCAGTTTTATATTTTTATCAATTATATATATTTAGCAGTTTTTTTAACAGTTAAGCATAATTTTTCATACGTCAGAATGCTGTTCATAGACTTCCAATCATTATATCTGCACTGTTGTTTACTTCACTGGTTTGCACTCTATCTGCCATGCGCCTTATATATTTTTTTACATTTTACCTTATTTGTATAATTGTATAGTTGTATTTTATATTTAAATCTGTATCTATCTGTATTTATGTTCTACTGTTAGTGTTATCTGTATGCACCAAGGGTCTGAGAGTAACGCAGTTTCAATTCTCTGTGTGTATGTGCTGTACATGTGGAAGAATTGACAATAAAGCAGACTTGAGACTTGAGATAAGTAGAAAAAATTCACTATAGAACTTCATGAATCTTCTGTGACTTAAAGATTTTATGCATTTCCATGTCATTTTCTGTTAAATTGGATTTTAACACCAAACTGCTTTCATTATATTGGTTGAAACTGAGTTTAAGTGTAAAATTTTGTGAGAGATCTTGTGTTACTGAATAAAAATACTGAAAAAATGTAAACAAAGTCACTTTAAA